TCTTGGCCTTTTTCGCTGCTAGTGACGGTATCGTGCTGGAGAACCTTTCGGCTAAGTTCTCTGGAGAAGTTCAATGTCCTGAGGCTCGCGCCTTCTATGTTTCCAAATAGCGATGGAGAACATCCACTCGGAGACGTGCGTCTGCTTTTCTTCCCCATTCCTCTATCGATTCTTGTCAGGTATTCATTGTTAATTGACAATTATATCAAAGATCCAGCGGAGAAAGATAAGATCTTTCGCGCCATCGAGACTGTTCCTAGCGTGAGGAAGAAGGCTGAGTGGGCCCTGTCGTGGATCAATGACGACAACTGTTTCTCTGAGAGATTGGTCAGCCAATATGGTATTCATCTCGTAGTACTGTATTCCTTGTCTCAGATTGCATTCGCATGTGTTGAGGGTATCCTGTTCTCTGGCTCCTTCTGCGCTATCTACTGGCTGAAGAAGAGGGGACTGATGCCTGGCCTGACCTTCTCCAACGAGCTCATCTCTCGTGACGAAGGTGGACGTGTCGCTCCCCACGGCGTCTGTTCTTTGATACTCCTCAGGCCTGCATGCTGACTTTGCTTGCCTACTGTATAATATGATGCACTATACGCGTCTCCCGGACGAGCGGGTCCATGAGATCGTCAGGGTGAGTCTGTTGGTGGTTTTATTGCATTTCCTGATCTCCGTTCTCAGGGTGCCGTTGACGTGGAGAGAGTTTTCATCTCGGAGTCGTTACCGGTGTCTCTGATCGGTATGAACAGCCAACTCATGTGCCGCTATATCGAGTTCGTGGCTGACCGTCTCCTTGTGGTGAGTACTCCTTCTTATAGTGTTGTTCAAGCTCTGCGCAGGCGCTTGGCCATCCCAAGTTATACAACGCCACGAATCCTTTTGATTGGATGAAGATGATTTCTCTACAAGGCAAGACCAACTTCTTCGAGAAGAGAGTTGGTGAGAGTCGTGTCCTGCTCAACTATATTGGAGTCCATCGTCTTTAGGTGAGTACCAGAAAGGAGGCGTTATGGCTGGTACTGCTGCACATAAGAACGGTAGCATGGATGCTGAGGAGAGAAGAAAGAGCATCGGCGCTGATTTCGCCTTGGACGAGGATTTTTAACATTTAGTTCGAAAATGTAGCTCTGTTGTTGCCGGCACTACCCCATTATGCGTACGTTGATGATATTACCAGTTTTCATAGTAGCTGGTCGTTAATGGCTCATACCATCTCTTCAGCAACAATTGCAAAATTAGTACTGTACTGCCGTATGCAGTAGTCGAGACGTCTCAATCTCGCCGTGTGACCCGTACGAAAGTACCGGGCCAGTGGTTGCTCGTGCATGTTTATAATCAACCATGGAGGTTTCAGTGATTTGTTGAAGAAGTATATTGATCAGTGGCTTTGAATTTGGTTGTTGTGTTGGATGCGGGTGTGCCTGAATCGGACCTGTTTTGTATCTTTTGGCGTTGAACCAGCATATCTTTCAGTTTCATTTACTCCTAAATCCACTAATGTTGTCCAAGTTGTCCAACACTGGGCTGCAAATGAGCCATAGGTCGATCGTGACTTTGGCCATGTCGCATCGGCTAGTGCAAGGTGCCCTACTCCACCCCCTGGAACGAGGCGAATACTGAGGTAGGTAAATGGGGTTTTCTCAGTGTGTGCTTT